CATTCAGTTACTCGTTGTTTTTCTTTTTTTCACTCTACTGATTTGTATTGAGTGACCAGCACAAGCTGTTCCTGGTTCTGGAGACATAGCACTAAACCAGACTCTCATGACGCGTGCACTAAATATGGGAGGGATCAGACCATAAAAGGCAAATTCCTACCATTTCAGTATGTGAGAAATGCTATGATGACAGTCAAACAGAGCAAGGGCAGAAGGCATCTCTGAGGAAGTAGATTTTGACTGAAGGATGACAAGGGTCCAGAAGTACAAAAATCTAGGGTAAGTGTGTTCTAGGAAGATGGAACAGTAGGTGCAAAGGCCCTGAGGCAGGGAAGATTAACAGACTGCCTGGAGCACAGAGTGTGGGAGAACACTAGAAGCCCGTAGCCAAGGACCAGATCACATAGAGACTTGGTCAGGAGAAGCCTTCAAATGGCAATGAGTTTTAAACAGAAATGCCAATATTCAATTCACGTTGTTCATGTCAAAGTTTGAGGGGTGTGGAAAAATACAATAATATCACCAAATAATGTCAGCAAAGCTGATTGGTGGGGTGCCCAGAAGAGACCTGACTCTCGTTGGAGTCTCCTTCTTGATTTCACTGCTATTCGAAAAAGTAAAAATCAATAAGATATGCCTCTGAATGTGAAAATATCTATACCTAAATGAAAAAAGACAGTCGTCTGCTGGGACAGGAATGGGATAGACATCTTGTTTCGTACTTCACCCGTCCCAGACATACCTCCCTGAGGTTACAGCCATAACGATCTAATCTGATTTCAGGTGTTCCTGAATCTCCTTAATCATACATCCCCAGGCAGTTTCTAGGCTTGGATTATTTCTCCATGAACAGACATCATCATGACTTTTTTTTTCCCTCTGAAAAAAATGGTGGGACTTCCCTGGTGGCGCAGTGGTTGAGAGTCTGCCTGCCAAAGCAGGGGACACGGGTTCGAGACCTGGTCTGGGAAGATCCCACATGCCACGGAGCAACTGGGCCCGTGAGCCACAATTACTGAGCCTGCGCGTCTGGAGCCTGTGCTCCGCAGCAAGAGAGGCCGCGATAGTGAGAGGCCCGCGCACCGCGATGAAGAGTGGCCCCCGCTCGCCGCAACTAGAGAAAGCCCTTGCACAGAAATGAAGACCCAACACAGCCATAAATAAATAAATAAATTTATTTAAAAAAAAAAAAGAAATAGTCACAAGACAAGGCAGCTCCCATTCTACCATTTAACAGCTTAGAATACTATTCACATGTCATGAAAATTCCTAAACATTAAAAGGGAAACACTTTAAAACAAAATGGTGCAAAAATTTTAATGTACAAAAAAAGACAAACAGTGAAAAATAAATTTCCCTCCCTCTCCTGTCCTTCAGCCACCCAATTCCCCTCCCTTGTCATTATCTTGAGTATCTTTCTAAAGCAGCAGTCCACAACCTTTTTGGCACCAGGTTTCAAGGTTGCTTGGAAGACAATTTTTCCACGGGCGGGGTGGGCAGAGGGGGTTGCTCAGGCCGTAATGGGAGCGATGGGGGCCAGCAGATGAAGCTTCGCTCGCTCCCCTCCTGCTGTGTGGCCCGGTTCCTAACAGGTAGCCGTCTGTGGCCCTGGGGTTGTGGACACCTGTTCTAAAGCATAGGTTACCATTCTGTTCCTCACTTTGAAAGTTATACATAGACAGCTGCTTCATTTTTGTTCATTGCTGCATTTTATTCTTTTTCATCTATGTACTGTAACTTAACTAAGTCTCCCTTGTATGGATCTTTAAAGGTTTCCTTTTTTTTTCCTTCTACAAATAACGCAACAAATATCCTGGTACACACATCATTTTGCCCCTGCAGGATGTATAGATTATATTAGAAATATTCCTAATTTTATTCTTAGAAGTTAATTTTGATTCTAGTCTGAGGCTCCCTTAATACTATGTGTTCTGTTTAAACTACTCCACCTTGGTGGGTTTACAATAAGAGTATGTGTTATGAACTGAATGGTGTCCCCTCAAAATTCATATGTTGAAGGTTTAATCTCCAGTGTGACTGTATTTGGAGATAGGACCCTTTAGGAGGTAATTAAAGATAAAGGAGGTCATTAAGGGTGAGGCTCTGATCCAATATTACAGAGGTCCTTATAAGAAGAGAAAGAGACACCAAGGATGTTGGCACACAGTAAAAAGGCAAGAAGATGCCTGTCTGCAAACCAAGAGGCCTTAGTATAGAGAAGCCTCAGGAGAAACCAAACCTCCCAAGACCTTGATCTTGGACTTCCAGCCCCCAGAACTGGAAGCATAAATTTAAATAAAATAAATAAATTTCTGTTGTTCAAGCCATTCATTCTGTGGTATTTTGTTATGACATCCTTAGGAAATGAATGCAGTATGTACCCTTGGCAGATGATGGACTTAGAAGTTAGTTAAATTGTTTAGTATGTTACACCATATTTCTTAGTAATTGATCCTTGATATTTACGTAATTAAAAACTAAATATTAGAATACGTTTTTCTTTATCACTGGAGATTTAATTCAGTATCATATTATTTCAGGTTAATTAGTCTAACAAATATTAAAAAACAGTTATTACTTAAATCAGTTGAAAATGTAGGGTAGATTGAAGGCACCATGCTATTAGTTCAGGTTCTTGCCAAGTTCTAAAGATACTCTCATGTTGATGAAACCTGAGTCACTGATTAATACAGAAAGTCAGTAAGGCTCTGTTTTAACTTCAGGCATCTTTATGAAGATTGGTCTTTTTTCCTTTGACAACAAAGAGAACAATGAGTCAAGTCCAAAGAGAAATCAAATCTCACCTTTCCAAAGTGTAAGGTGTGTGTGTGTATATATATATATACACACACACACAGTATACACAGTGTCTACTCAAACAGTATTTATTAGCAAACTATAGTATGTGCCAAGCCCTATGATCCATACAAAGTATGTTTGGGGTCTACAATCTGAATCTAATATTCCTCTTAGAAATGAAGGCAAAAGGTCTTGATTAGATAAGTAGACCAAAACAGCGATTTTTTCAAGCCTAGATCTTTTTTGGTTTAGCCAACGTAGCAAATTAAGCAGACCTACTTCTTCTTGAAACACTCATGCCACTGGAATAGAATAAATACACCATGAATGGGAACAGAATGATTTATGAGAGAATTTAACCTGTAATCCCTTGGACGGCTCTTTTAGGTTGTTATCAACTCCCTTTACCTTTATGCCTTACAGAGTGAAACAAACAACCTTAAAGGAAATGGTCAGTCCCTCACCTAATTGTTGTCCCTATTTAATACAAATTTTAAAATGGGCTACCTTGTACAGTATCCCATATCTCTCAGAAAAAAAGAATAAAGGCCACCATATACTGTTCCATCACTCTGTCAGTCAGCTTAGGCTGCCATAACAAAATACCATAGCCTGGGTGGCTTACACAGCAGAGATATATTTTCTCACAGTTCTGGAGGCTGGAAGTCTGAGATCATTGTACCAGTATGGTCTGGGTTCTGGTGAGGGCTTTCTTCCTGGTTTGTAGACAGCCACCTTCTCACTGTGTCTTCACATGGCAGAGAGAGAGCTCTGGTATCTCTTCCTCTTCTTGTACTGATCCTATCATGAGGCCCACACCTTCAGGACCTCATCTAAACATAATTAACTCCCAAAGACCCCATCTCCAAATACTGTCACGTTGGGGGTTAGGACTTCAGCACATGAGTTTGGGGGATACAATTCAGTCCACAGCAATCACCATTGTTATCTCGCCTATGTGTAATGGTAGACGTTGTTGACATTTATTGGGGTTTGTACTTGCCCACAAATACCCTGGATGTCCCTACTCTGCCATTGTTTCAAGTCCTTATTGTTTGTCCCAGGATTACTGACATAGCTGCAGTTCTCCCCGTGGACGAATTAACTCCGCAGGTTGCCGCACAAAAGTCCCTCCTCGAAAACCTTCATTGGCCTACAGCATTTCTGCATGTCAGAACTCCACCACCGGCAGCTGCTGTGTGCTTTAAGCAAGTTATTTAAGCTCTCTGTGCCATGGGCATAATAATAGTGCTTCTATCAAAACATGTAGTACATTCTTAGAAGAATGCCTGGCTTTTAAGGGCAACATGTGTGCTGGTCAGTGCTATCATTGTAAATGACAGATGTAGCCTTTTCAGTGCTCATTTCTAACTATTTATATTGATATACTCTGTACTTAGGTCAAACTCAAGGCTTGCTAGTTCCCATATGTGTCTTGAACCTTCCCATCCCTCATTTGTTTGCCCTGCTTCTAGAATATCTGCCTCCAAACATCTTCACCTGTCAAAACCTTACTAATTCTTCAAAACACATCTCAAAATGTCATCTCTTTCTTGAAGCTACTCTACCCTTTGCACCCATTTCCCATCCAACCATGAGGAGTCCCTCCTGCCATGATACACAACATCATGGACTTTTGGTATGTTTATTACTATTCTGTCTTGTGTTCATGGTTATTTGTGTATGGCTGGATTGTAAATCACACCAGGGCATAATTATTTGTGTATCCTTGAGAGCCCCTGCCCATGGAAGACCATAATTAAAGCTAGTTTAATAAAAATAACTCTAATCATAAAACAAGGGAAACTGTTCAGAATTTACTTTTGTATTTTATTAAGAGATTTTTAGGGCACCATCTAGAAGAAACTCTATGGCCACAGGAAGGACAGAACATTTATGGTAAAAACAAGAAGACAATGCATAGACAGAAAAGAATTTAACAGCAAAGGTGTAAATCATCACCTCATTTTTCTGAGCTCAATAACCAAGATGTTCTCCATCTTTTTTCTTGGATGACATTGAATAAAATAACCACATGACCATCTTAAAAATAGAAAAAGTTACTTAAAGTCAGAGAATAAGAACCAAAGAGGAAAGTGTGATAAAGCCCAGGTGGCAGAGAGACAGCGCAGAGCAGACGGATGGATGGAGGGAAGCCTTAGCAGTGGGAGCAATCAGACACCCCAGCAGCACCTGCAGACCAGCCCGCTTAGCAGCAGCATTGCTTCCGGCAGCAGCTCTCGTGCTGGCAGCAGCCCTTCCACAGCCACAGCCACACGGGATGCAGCTCCAGGTGCGGCAATGGTGGCAGACCACGGGGACGCTGCAGCAGCAGGGGCAGCAGCTGGAGCAGCAGCCGACCCGGGAGCATCTGCACGGGGCTCAGCTGCCGCCACCCCAGCCGAGGCAGCCACCACACCTTCCACAGCCACAGCTGCCCACGGTGTTGGGAGAGAGGACTCGGGAGAGGTGAGGAGGGAGACCCAGGAGGGGAGGGAGGTCTGATGCCGCCTTCTGCTGGCGAGGCTCTTATATACCATCTTCAGGGGCTGAGCCCAGAATGCACAGCTTGTGCCTTGTTGTAGATCCCACTTCCTATAAAAGACCTCACGAGGCCTCTTACGTCCTTCCTTGTTGAGGTCTTGTCCAGTGAATATTGCTATTTTAACCTTTACCTGTCTCTTAAATCTATATTTGAATTAGAAAACACTTCTAACAGTTGTGTGCCCGGAAGAACTTAAATGTGCATGTACAATATGTTTTGCCCCAGCGTCTAGAGTAGTGCCTGGCCCATCCTAAGTGTTCAACAGTCAGCTGTTGAATTAAATAAATGCCTGCATTGAAGATTTTAAAACAATCTTCATTTTGTATAACCATGAGAGTCTGAATCTAGAGGCAGGTAAAAGCCCCATGTTTCGATAGATACTTCTTAGTCATCGCGGGTTAGAAAAAAAAAGGTTGTTTTTCTCTCTACTGGGATTCATTACTAACCCCTAAGTTACAAAAACCTCTTGGAAAAATAAGTGAAAAGCCAGACCCAAAAGGGCAAGAGTCAGCATCCCTAAATGTATTATATCTCATATTATACCTCACCTTAGAACACAGCTATGTTTTTTTCTGGCTCCCTGAGATTCTTTGTTCACCAGAAGAATTAATAAATAAAAAAAAAAAAAAAAAAAAAAAAAAAAAAAACTTGTGTGATGTCAGATGCTAAAACTATAATTTTGTGTAGCCTACTCCTAAGTCATCTGCTGAGAGGGAAGTTCCTACTTGTTGTTTGTCTGTTAATTAATTGGGAAAACAAAAATAAAAAAGATTTCATCCGGTGGCTGGCCTTCTCTCATGCCTCTCCAGGTTTAAGACCTGTGGCCAGCCCAGCGCTTCAGCCCGATCATGGCCCAGGGGAATGTTTATTCGAAATGACTGGTCTCCATCTGGCTGGCTCTACCTGTTCAGCATTCCTCTTTCTCCCCAGGTAGCCTGCAGGTGTGAATGGTCATCCATAGAAATATGCTCTTGCTTGACTGTCTTGAAAATTGAGGCCTGCCCGGCTGGTCTCAGGGCTCCAGGCAGCTCACAGGGGAGGGACCCACTGCACAGTGTCCCTCGAGACTTACACTGCAGCTTCTGGATCCGAGATGCCCGGGCTTTGGCGGGTCCGTGCTTCTCCCAGGATGTTGGTGTCCCTGGATTGACAACTGGCACCTCTTTGATAAGTTTACCTTTTTTTAAAAAAAAAAAATTTATTTATGTCTGTGTTGGGTCTTCGTTTCTGTGCGAGGGCTTTCTCTAGTTGTGGCAAACGGGGGCCACTCTTCATCGCGGTGCACGGGCCTCTCACTATCGCGGCCTCTCTTGTTGCAGAGCACAGGCTCCAGACGCGCAGGCTCAATAGTTGTGGCTCACGGGCCCAGTTGCTCCACGGCATGTGGGATCTTCCCAGACCAGGGCTCAAACCTGTGTCCCCTGCATTGGCAGGCAGATTCTCAACCACTGCACCACCAGGGAAGCCCAAGTTTACCTTTTGAAACCAAGAGGAAGAAGCCTGAAAATGCCCTCCTTTGATTTACTTCTCACCCACCGGCAGGCTGTCAGGACTCTCCCCAGCCCTCCAGTTCGGGTGCCCGGCAACGTGGAGAAACTCTTCTGCACTTGTGGGAACTTGAACCATCTACGATGGTCGTGTCTGAGTTGCAGGCAACGTTCTGAGGCCCCTGGGGCTGCTTTTTCCCTACATGTCGGCCATCACTTTTCTACGTCTGAACTAAAGATGTAACACACAACTATTTCATCCCTAACAGAAAACTCAAGGTTATGAGGCTGCTTGCTAAAAATAGCAAGTTATCATGGCACAGGTACTCAAGAAGGAAGTAAATAAAAGGTCTTGGGAGATTCTTCTGTGGAAATTGGGCTACAAAAGGGGGGGGCTGTCAGTATATAAGGGCCTCCCCCAGCAGAAGGCGGCACCAGACCTCCCTCCCCTCCTGGGTCTCCCTCCTCATCTCTCCCGAGTCCTCTCTCCCGACACCGTGGGCAGCTGTGGCTGTGGAAGGTGTGGTGGCTGCCTCGGCTGGGGTGGCGGCAGCTGAGCCCCGTGCAGATGCTCCCGGGTCGGCTGCTCCCCCTGCTGCTACGGCTACCCTGGGGGCTGCTGCAGCGTCCCCGTGGTCTGCCGCCATCGCCGCACCTGGAGCTGCATCCCGTGTGGCTGCGGCTGTGGAAGGGCTGCTGCCAGCACGAGAGCTGCTGCCAGAAGCAATGCTGCTGCCGGGTAGCCGATGGGCTCTGCCTCTAGGGTAAGAGATGCTGGGAGCTCAGCTCACAGCATTTGGTAAGACTCTCCCCCATCCCTCCGGTCCTCTTCCTCCTGTTCCAGGTACCTTGATGCCTTGGAACTGCTCTTCTGCCCCTTTTAGGCTTAAGTTTCAGGGCTTGTTCTTTCCCTTCAGTGTGGTGTCATGATGACAATTTCTTCTCTCTGTATCTTCAGAACTTAGCATAAGGAGGTATTTATTCTGTCATCTTTGTAATCTTGTCTCCACTTGGAAAAAAAAGATGAAAGACCAGCATACATTACCAACATTAGTGCGTGGGAACACAGCCACTCATGTTAAAAATCTATTTATGTTATAAACGTAACGAAGTAAAATCATGATAGGTAATATTTCGTTTTTTTGAAAACATTACATACAATGGACTTTTTGTTCTTTACTGTTGTACATTTACTAACTTTTTCCCCTTTTCTATGTATTGTAAAAAAAAAAAAAGGAACTCTTTCTTAATTAAAAAATGATCTTTCCTTATTCTAATGTGTCTCTCTGTTCTATGAGATGTATACCATATCTATGAGATGTATACCAGCCCATGGGTGAGGCCAATGGCACAAAAGATCGGGATAGGTTTCAGTTAATGGATGATTGGTCCTCTACTGTCCTATATCTGGTTTTACAATAAAGATAGAAATTTTGGGGGAAATCCCCAACCTTTAGTTGTCAGTATCATTGAGGGAAATTCCTGTGCTCTCCTACAGATGCTTTCGTGACGTCTGTGTCTGCATCTGAGTTCTGGTTTTAAGAGCTGAGAGCCCCAGTGTGGCTGGTCAGAGCTTCACTCTCTCACTCTATGTGTTTTTTACTCACTCATTCAGCCAGCAAATACATACTGTATTAGGTCAGATATTCAGCCAAGCACTAGAGGTCTGAGGCTAAACAATCACTTGCCTTCAAGGAGTCAACATCAGAGAGGGAAATGGAGAGTCAATTACAGCACAGCTTTCTATTTCAGTTTTCTTTGTCTGGTCACCTTTTCTCAGTGACTGATTCTATATCAGCAATTCAAATAGATTTTTGGGTACATTATTGCCACCACTCTGATGAGTACCAATGTAAGAGACACTCAATTCACTTCCTGTATAAGCCAACCAAGGGAATAGTTGACACCTTCCACAGGGCTTTTCATCCAGCCTCCCAGCAACAAATGACACAGTTGACCACTCCCTCCTCCCTGATAACACCACCGCGCCCTTTCTTTTCTCCTTCCTGTTCAGCCTTCTCTGAGGGTCCTTTCCCAGCTTTGGTACCCAAGGCTCAGGACTTTGCCCTCTTCTCCATCATTCTACACCCTCATCTGATCTCTACTCTTTTTTCTTTCCCATAGTACTCACCACTTTCTAACATACCATAACATTCATGACTTTACCATGCTTACCCTTTGTCATTCTCTCTGCCTCACCCCACACCCAACTAGAATGTACAAAGATTCTCACTCTTGTTCACTGACATTTCTCTAGCACCTAGAACAGTGACTGGCACATAGTATGTACACAAGAAATAGCTTCATAATGAACAAATGATTTTTTTTAACTTTTTTAATCATAGAAAATGTCAAACATACACAAAAGTGGAGAACAGTTCAAGAAATTCCTAAGAACCATCACCCAAGACAACAGCTGTTAACACATGGCTCATCCCTTGTCATCTATGACCTCACACATCCCCCTCCCACCACTGGATCATACAGAATGGAGTCCTCACATCATCTCCTCAGAAAATATATTTAGGTTTCTATGAATGAAAGAATTCCTCATCATCTCTCTCTGGCTTAGACTATGGCTAAGAGATATCAGAGAAACACAGCAGTAAACTTCTCAAGGTCCAAGGTGAGGAGGTCTCTCGGGGAGATGTGTAGAGGAAATACATGACACCCTCACCTTTAAGAAAACTTCAGTTTTCCCTGGGAGGGCCCTACAATTTACTCATTGCCACTCCTGTGGTGCATCCTGGTAATTTATAGGCAGACTTCTTAAAAGTCACAGGAAGATGAGAATAGAAAATCTAAGCCAATAGGACTTAGTGACCCAAGATGCCTGGGGAGACTTTTAATCAATTCCATTTTCACTAGGAGCCTTTAGAAACCAAGCAGTGTTCATCTTTGGAGAGAGTTTTCTATTCCCAGCAACAAATAAAGAAAAAAAGTTTAAAAACAAAAATCTATTTTAACCAATGAGAACTTCATAAGGCTTTTTTAAAAATCTCTGCTTAATAAAAAGTATTTAATAAATGGACTATTTGTATTAGAAAATTCTCAAAGCTCCAGAAAACCACCACCTCACCACCTTTAAAAACAAAAACAAAAACAATGGCTATAAACACTGGCTCTGGAGCCAGGATATTCTGACAAAAATCCAGGCTTCTCTATTTACCAGTCTTATTTCCCTCAGCCTCATTTTATTGCAACATGGGAATCATGACTGAGCCTCTCTCATAAAAATTTTGGAATAAACAGATTTATACGAAATGACATATTTATAAGCAGATGATCGACACTGCATTCTGCTCATCTTGCTTTATTTCGTTAGGTATCAACATACTACTTTCAGTTGGTCTTTTCAGGTACAGAGTTCTTTGCCCGCAGACCGCGGATTCCCGCCTCTAGTTCAAAGGTTCTGGAAGCTTGTAAAGAGCCCACACAAAACGTTGGGGCGGGGCCACCGGCTCCGAGAGGGGCCGGCCACGCCCTTGCCCCGCCTCTGGGCCCGCCCCCGCTGCTACCTTTAGAGCTTGGCTTCATCATACCCGACTGCTGAGGGTCCTGGTCCCGGGGGCTTCATATCCCAGGCTGTGAGCAAGTTGGCGAGCAGAAATCCCCTCGTAGGTAAGAATGTTTCCAGGAGGTAAATTAATTGAAGAAATACCTTCATCCCTCGGCCGCCTCGCCACCCCTTCCCCCAGTTTCGGGAGCTTGAGCCGGGCGGGTACCTGCGCTGTAGCAGGAGGGCTCGGACTGGCCTGGGTTATTACATCCCTGGGCCCTTGGAGGACAGCCAGCTGCTTCCTACTGCTACTCCCCCTCGGATCCATAGCTCTGCCATCCACAGTGCTGAGACTCGCCCAAATAGGTTTGGCTAGAATTGCTACTTTCAACCATCTGGAAAAGCAGATTAAATAAAACCTGAATCCTGGTAAAGGTCCAGCATTCCCCATAGTTACATCCATGGTCACAGCTTTTAAGTAAAAAGAAATCTTAGCACACAATTCCAAATCACCATCCAAGAATGTCGAAAAGGTCCTAGTGAGGAAAAGAAAGGGGACTTTCAAGGTAAGAGATCAGGGACCCTATTGAAACTACTTTAACTGAAATTTTAAAATAATACAGTCATATCTCATGATAATATTTCTGGAAATGATACCTAATTCATTAAAAACGTGTAACAATGACTTATCAAGTCCATGTTGCTGCCGTAAATATGCAAAAGGTTTGAGCTCGTGGAGCGCTTAAAATTTGAAAAGCGTGAAGGAAATAATGTTTTCTAAAAATACACAGAAGTGTTTTGCTTGTGCAGGCAACAGAACATATTGGTGTCTCGTAAGGCAAAAGGTATGTCTTCGTTAAGGTACGTGTTTTAAGTAGACCAAAACATAACTTCCAAATACAGACATACTTCCCTTTATTGAGATTTTTAAATACCTTTGCTCACTTCTGTGTCTCTGTGTCACACTTTGGTAATTTTTCACAGTATTTTCAACTTTTTTATTATTATTGTATTTGTTATGGTGATCTGTGACTTTTGATGTTACTACCACCACTTGCTGAAGGCTCAGATGATGGTTAGCATTTTTTAGCAATAAAGTTTTTTTGGGTTTTTTTTGCGGTACGCGGGCCTCTCGCTGTTGTGGCCTCTCCCGTTGCAGAGCACAGGCTCCGGACGCGCAGGCTCAGCGGCCACGGCTCATGGGCCCAGCCGCTCCGCGGCATGTGGGATCTTCCCGGACAGGGGCACGAACCCGTGTCCCCTGCATCGGCAGGCGGACTCCCAACCACTGTGCTACCAGGGAAGCCCAGCATTAAAGTATTTTTAAATCAAGGTATGTAATGGGTTTTTTAGACAACGCTATTGCACACTTAATAGGATATGATATAGTGTACATGTAATTTTTATATGCCCTGGGAAACCAAAAAACTCCTGTGACTCGCTTTATTGCAATATTAGCTTTATTGGGGTGGTCTGGAACCCAACCCACGGTAGCTGGGAAGTACGCTTACATGTTTTTTTTTTCAAACTGTCTTAGTGGTAGCTGAAATGGACAAAAATACTAATTTCTTTCGGCCATTATTGGTTATGGGCCAACAGTGGTTTCTCAAGGTTAGGTAATGGTAAATGCAATTCAAGGC